GGAGATTGGTCCATAACTGTGGCCTGTATCGTGTTTACAAATTATAATGGACAGACGGACGGACGGACGGACGGACGGACACACATGTCTAGATCGACTCAGCTAGTCGAGATATGACGATCGGTATACTTAAAGGTGGGTCTAGGACCCATATTTCGCGGCGTTACAAACATTTGGGGCTGCACAAAGCTATAATACCCTGACAACATAGTTGTGTAGGGTATAAAAACGTGGTTTATACGAGGAAATACCTTATATACGGGATATATCAAAACATTGACCTCTATATAAATATTTTGACAATATCCTTTACCCAATGAAACGTCGGCATGCCTAAAACCTCAAATAAGACTTTTAGGCTAGATCCATCCAAAGAGTAAAAAATGTGCGGAACTTTCAATGGGGGCTATGTCAAAACATGGACCCACATTATTACAACATTTTCGGTTTTAAAATTCACCTAGGACCATCATATACCTATAAAAACGAAAATTCTACACGGTGTATATATCAAAATATGTCAAATTGCACTCTCCTGACCGATTAGATGTCAACAGCTCCTCTGCTGCATTGGTATTGGTACTGGTATTGATACAATTGATACAATAGGTATCAACCATTCCTCTTTTGTATGCTGTCAACTTCTCGGGTCTTTATCCTCCAGGCATAAAAATATACGCCATAGTAGAGTAACTTCGGGTAATGTGGACCATGCGTCTAATGTGGACCACCCCCCATATCTTAGAGAATGCTTGAAATATGACAATGCCGCCTTGATTAATGTTTTCCTAATAAGTGAAAACAAACATCAAACTTGGTTTTTAATAAATTATAGCAATTTTGAAAATGTAGTGCTAAAAAATTTAGCTCTGATTGTAAAAGTGTGATTTTGAAAGTTTTTACCACAATAGTCGATCGTTTTTGCAAAATAGTCGAACACTTTGTTTTTCTCGAATATAAAGAAGTTATGTGGTTTTCTAGTTTTCTTTAACAAAAATATACGTTTACGCTGTAATTACAATCGGTGATTTTTAATTTTTATTCATTTTTGACGCCGATAATTATTTTTAAATAAAAATATTCAATGTCGGGTAATGTGGACCACTATAAAAATTGGGACCTTTACATGAGGACGAGTTCGAAACATGGGCGCGTTTAATATGCGAGGAGGTATTCTATCCTCTGAAAACTCGATATGCGAAGTTTCAGGTGCTTCGGTTGGATAACGAAGCAAGGACCTTCAAAATACCGCAAATGGGGCGGTACCCTCAAATGGGGGTTATTCCAAAACATGAACCCATATATATTTGCATTCATTGCTACCCAAGAGTGCAATAAATTGAAATTTATCACAACCAATCCACATCCTACCTTTAACTTACTGATCCTCATTACCCACACATACTGGTCCACATTACCCGCCAAGTAATTTTTTTACGCAGTTTAGAGTTTTTTGAAATATAATGCAATAACATTTTTATAGACAAATAAATATATTGTTTGACCTGGAATATATTTAGACAACAAATCTACTAAGTTGTGAAAACAATTTATTTTTATTTTTTACCGTTGTTACGCCCACAATATCAAAAAAAGAAAATGGTGGTCCACATTACCCGAAGTTACTCTATGCAAATTAAGCCATTTTTTCACAAAAGTCTGGGCCCATTTTACCCAGTAAATATATACCAATCTTCACCAAAACAGTCATGTTTATTCTTTGTCAAGATCCCCTTCCCCATGTAAAATTTCGTCATGTTCGGATCATAATTGTGGCGTCTGGACCAAATTAACGGATAATTACCAAAAATAATACGGGTCTTTTTTGGAACGAAATGGTCGTATACGTCATGATTGGTCGATAACTGTGTCCTGTAGCGTATTTACAAACACATTTCTTGACCGGCTTAGCTAGTCGAGATATGATATGATCGGTATACTTAAAGGGGGTCTAAAGGCCTTACAAAGCTATAATACTCTTACAACATAGTTGTGTAGGGTATAAACGGTCGCGCAGCAATATAGTCGGACGTGGCCGACTCTATGATACCCTACACAACTACCACTGATATCTAATTTTTGGCGGATCTATTCTCCGAACCTAGGCAATATTTCGCGATATTTGCCCCTTCTTTACCGATTAGAAGTCAACAGCTTCTCTTTTTTACCCTTACATAATATCCGTATTTGGTATTCATTTGCGTCGCAATTGTGGCCTCTAGAGCGTCTAAAACAGACAGAAATAAAGGTTTTATATTATCATTGCAGAATTTGTTATGGGTCGTTCTTAATCCTAGCCTAAACATCATGTAAAAAGTTATTAGCGCGAATTTTCCGCCCTCCAGTGTGGCAATGGTAATGCTAAACTGTATTAAAATGAGTAGATCCCTATAAATATTTACATATAACTCCCAAATCCGAGAACACAAATCGATACAATTTATATAAATGTTAAAGTAAACTATTGCTATTCGATATACCACCAACATTCCCGCCATATGTACTTCTGGAGTAAATATGTACACCGAAGAAAGCAAATTTTGATATGAGCTGCCACATACCGACTAGTATGTAAAGGGACATACAAATTTCGTGGTTAGATTCCTCTATCCGTGTAAAATTTTTAGACTGAAACCTAGAAAAACAAACAAAAAAGGGTCCGCTTCATTTCCTGAATATCAAGAGGTCAATACCAATACATGCAAAATATAGATTAGTCATTATAGGGGTACCGCTGTTTCTATATGAAGCTCTTACTGTGCATCACTAGTTTCGATCCATAGGTATCGAATATCAAAATAAATAACTGTTGCAAAGTTTGAAATCTCTAGCCAATTACCAGGTTAAGTGTATGGGGCCGAATGGGTCCCATCAAATGCCGAAGCTACCCCCGGTAGGGGCACATTCGGCGAATTTGACTTATTTTACAAAACTCTAAAAATGTTTAAGTAATACTAATTTATTATTTGCTCTAAAAAAGTGCCGAATGTGCCTGTCATCATTCTAGGTTACATCGGAAATTTCACAAATATTGGGTAATTGTTTTGCACGATTTACATTAAATCGCATGAAATGGATGCTGTATCGAAATCTTACAAACATTGGGGCAAACTTATCGGATCTCCGACAACTTCCATCAATATTTGCAAAAAACAATACTTGTATTTTTGTGAGCTAATTTTACTTCGTATCTGCATATTCTACTTAATGAAGTGACTTATTCCTTAAGATACTACTTAAGAGTATTAATAAAAATTTAATATATATATTTTTATGAGACGAATTGTTAATACTGTTAGCAAGTTAATGTAAAAAATATTGGTATATATTCCAACTTCAAAATTATTAAGATTCTTAACCTATAATATATAATATTAAATAAGTCAGTTTCTTACTCAAATGTCTGCATTTACATCTTTAAAAAATAAGATAAGTGGCAAAATAAATGTATTTCAATAATACATATATATTACCCTAATACTCTCCTTAAACACTGTTCTTTCACCAATATTTAACATTATAAATGTTAAAAGTGTAATATATCTAACAGAAAATGTATTACGAAGCTTTCGCCATGCTAAACAGAAAGCTTCACAGATTCATGTTAACCGATTCCAATAACAGTGGCGTATTCTGTACACAAAAGAATTCGTTTGTAGTATAGCATTTAGAACCTGCTTTTGTGTGTCTGTGTGTGTTTTGCAAACATAATCATAACAAGAGAAATGCACTTAAGGTAAGTAAATTATCAGGACATAAATTAAAGCGAAACATAAAGTTAATTAGCCGAAATGTCTGTGAACTCATTAGCAAAGTATTCTACGAATACTATAAAAAAAGCAACATGGGCAATGTGTGGGTGTTGGCTCTTTAACCGGATGTTAAAGATTGCTGACTGCAATTAGTTACTTGAGAAAAATTACGCTTAGACTTGTTTATGTTTAGACAACAATTAGACTTGTTTATGTTTGTGAAAGATGAAAAAGAAAATAGTTCTTCTAGTGCAGAATTTAAAGAGTATTTTTTGGATGTATTTTGTAAAAAATGTTCCAATCGATATCATTTGGAAAATGAATATTAATAGTTTTCTACACTTATATAACCTTTTTTATGACTTATATTTCCCATCTCACTTCCGTGAACAAACATATTCAGACTATATTTATTTAAACACATGTTTTTCCCTTGGAATGCTCAATTCCCCTCAATTTATACAAAATATGCTGAAAAATATATATATTTAAAATATATTTATCTATTGCACGTCTTAATTGCCACTCAGTAATAAATTTGTATTAAGGGGACCTCCCCCATTCTCGATTTGAAATTTTCAAGATTTTCATTGGGCTGGTAAATGAATATAATTGAAGATTTAAAAGAGAAGAAAAATGATTGGCACAATTTGGTTGCTGTTATTTTGTTGTTGTTTTTAGTGACAAAAGAAAATTTCTTATTTTTGATGACGAGCATGATAACTCCAGACTGGAACATCGGAATCCGGAACTTCCAAGGCTGTTAGAAAGAGTAGATGTATGAATTAGGATTATTGACTTCGCTCAAAAATTAACAAAATGGCGGGCCTTTGACATTTTTTGGAAATTTGCCTATTTTTGACCAAAGATAAAGAAGTTCTTCACCGATTGGCCTTATCCTAGTTCATCGTGCCGCCATTCGCAAAAAACACGGCTTCGAGACAAATGCTATTAAAGTTTGAGAATCACTCTGTCGACACTTGATGCAATAAATCGGCTATATCTTCAAGAGTTCTTGAGATTTTCTTGAATTAGTGTAGATTCAAATGAAACCTAAAAACTAAATTAAATGTTTTGACACCGAGAATTGGGAGATTCCTTTAAGTCGAATAAGAAGAATATCGGAAATTCGCCAAAAAAAAACGACAACAAAATTAAGGCATTACGATTATAAATTTGGATATTTTTAGCCAACCTATGTCAAACTCGAAGTGGGAATCAGTTGGTATACTTCTTCGGGTGAAACCACAAGTGGCTATCGTTAGAGCACTCCTGCATTTAAATGTGAAAAAATCTTTTGTGTCTCATACCATCGCTCGTTACCGTGATACTGGTTGCGTAGCCCGACGTCAAGGAAATGGACGGAAGAAAACAGCAACGTCAGCAGAAATGGTTCGAAAAGTAAAGAAGCTACTTGATCGAAACCCGCGTCGGAGTTGTCGAAAAAATGGCTCGTGAGCTGAAAATATCGCAATATTCCATTCGGCAAATAAGCTCAGGGAAAAGCCATTGAAATTCCAAAATTCCAAAAACTTACACCGCAACAGAAAGAAAATAGACTCAAAAGAGCTAAAGAGTTGCTTCGCTTGGACGAAAGTGGTGAACTGCCGAATTTGGTTTTCTCCGATGAGAAAACAATTCGTTGTCCAACAGATTGTAAACAAACAAAAGAATGGTGTTTACTTGCCGAAGTGATCAACTGAAAATGAGCATCTTCGGTTGGCCACCAGAACTCAAGCGTCGGCCGATGGTCGCTCTCCGCTCGTGTTAATCGACCGTGGCATCAGTATAAATGCCGAATATTATCGCGAAAATATTCTGGAGTGTGTATCAAAGCCTTGGGCACGCAAACATTTTGGCCGCAGACCTTGGACATTTCAAAAGGACTCAGCATCACCGCACTCAGCACGCGCCACCCAAGAATGATTACAAAATTCCTCGCTTCATTTCCAGCACACAATGGCCACCACAATACTAATTCTTTGAACTATTGTGTCTGGAGTATTTTGGAACGCAAGGTTGGCACTAAAAAATACCAGAGTGTTGATCACCACAAGCAATCGCTTCGCCGGGAATGGGCCAAAATACCGCAGAGCAACATTCGGGCAGCGTGTGATGGTTTCATTTGGCGTTTGAAGGCCATAATTCGTGTCGAAGGTGACTAATTCGATCAAATCTAAACTTATTCTAAAATTTGATGCTATTTCCGACATTTTTTGCCTTTATGATGACGTTTGACTTTGTTTCAGTTTTTTTTTTTTCATCTCACCCTGTATACTCACAAATATATGAAAATTTGACCTTCACCTGTCATTTGTAAACTGTTACCCACATTGATGTAACATTTTACTGACAAACATTTGCATACCCTGCACCACCCTGGGTGTGCTAATATCGCTTTCAATATTTTCCGATTTATTGCGGCCGCGACTCTACGTTTACCCAACATACACGAAATATTTTTTTCATGCTGATAGTGCACCGAAAATGCCACATCTGCAAATTTCCCGCATAAAATCCATTAAACTTTGAATGGATATTAAAATATGAAATCTTCTTGTATATAAGAAAAGTTGTGTAGGGTTTCATATAGTCGTTCCCGTCAGACGTTGGTCGAAATCATGTAGATCTATGTGTAAGAAAGACATCGAACATCGTGCTTGATCATCTTGTTGTCTATATATTCATAACGTTAATTATCTGCTCCGTCGATTATGCATCTCCATCACTGGTTAGCTTTTTAAATAATCTACTATTATGGCAACGTAAGGACATCTATTTAAATGCCCTGCAATGGCTGTAGTTTAGTTAGCAAGAATCAACAGCAAAAGAAAAAATACATCATTAAGAAAGACGTATTAAAGAAATACTGAGAATAACTAATTTTTAATGCGATGTTAATTACTATGCAACTGGATAAAGCTGTTAAAGTGTCAAAGTAATTATAAGCGAGATTGTGCAATCGTTGTTGCTCTAATATTTATGGTCAATGCATAGGAGGTCAACTTTGATATAAATATCTTCGAGGGCGTATACGTTACAGAATATACAAAAAATAAAACGATTGAATTGCTCATACGCCCAATGTACATTTCATTGGAGATGGTTGATTTTAGATGGCATTGAAATTCTTAAAAAAACAAAAGCAAATAAAACATAAACGAAAACCTACGATGGCACATCTGCCATTGGACCCAAAAGAAATAAAATTCGTTTTTATTTCCTGTAACATCTGTTACGATATTATTTCGGAGTGCCAAAGTAATTATGAAACCACTTTATTGGGTGGGCAAACATTTTTTGTTGTCTATCTTCAACATCCCAAAATAAAATAACTTTTTTGTATTGTAAAATATCTGACAACACAATATTGTGGACTTCCAAATAAAAAACAATACTAACTTGTATACAAACAATACACGATCTTGAAAGACTTTAACAATATTTCAAGACATTTTATTGTCTTTTTTGATAATGGCCTACAACGTCCTTGTAGGTGGTTCTCTATCAAAATTCCAATTTTATGGAGAAATCATTGAAATTTTATGTAAATTTAGAGGTAATAAAAATACACTAAATATATAGGATATTCGAATAAAGGAGAATAGCTTTCCTAGAAAATTGCCTATTGTCCAATTAAATTGAATGTTCGTCTTTGTCAAACAAGCCGTATTAGGTTAGGTGAACAAAAAGGAGAGTCATTCAAAAAAAAAAAAAAAAACAATATTAAACGAAATTTAAAAGATGTTCAAGCACACAAAGGGATACAATGTATTAAGACACAATTGAGGGAATTTCAATAAGCATTAAATTTTCTGGCAATTTTTTGCCATACAATTTTAAATGATATTTATTTCCTTATTTTGTTTATTTTAACACATTGAATATTTAGTATGTAATTTAAGATTTAGTACAACTTAGTATATCATACTGGACCTATGGACAACTAAAAAGTTTTCAAGTTTCAAACTTTTCTCATCAGCCACTACATTTTGTTTTCAAGAATAACGCAATGAATTCAAGTGATTCGCACAGCAGACACTTCTTTAAAGTGACACATTTGTCAACAGTTCCTTAATTGCTTGGCCGGCAATTTTGTGCCACTTAGGCTGGATGTTGTGTTTTTTAGTTTGAAAGTGAAAATGTCAGCTACTTCTTTAAATAACAGTCAACCGTTTAGTAGATGGTGCCAACATTTTAAGGACATTCCAAAGTTTCTTTAGTTTGGTTTTATACCAAAATTAGTCCCATGTTACTATATGTTCGTTAAATGTGAGTTAACACCATTTAGAATCGTTCATATGTATGGCAGTTATAATCACATTATGTTAGAACAAGTAAAAAGACGTTTGGTTCGTCCGGGTCGATCATTTTATGGCTTCCACAATAAGTATACGGAACATTATTTGAGTGATTTTGGAAAGTATGGGTGTAACTTTAGATGCAATGGAAAAACGAGTTTGATCTTTATATAGGGGATATAATAAAACCCTTCACCACTTTGGGTATATTCAACAGATGAATACTAACAGACGTCGCATTTTTAAACGACTAGCAAAATTAAATTTTGCTAGTCGTTTTTTATGTCCCCTGGTTTTATTATGTCCCCTATATAGAGATCAAACTCGTTTTTCCATTGCATCCAAAGTTTCACCCACACTTTCCAAAATCACTCAAAGAACGTTCCGTATACTTATTGTGGAAGCCAATAAACAATAAACAGGTCTTTCTGCAACCGATACTAAATTTTTCATTTGGTCAGATATAGAAGCTATATCTAAATCTGAACCGATTTCAGGAAACTTAACACACATCTAGACCTAATTTATTACGCTGTGCCAAATTTAGTGCAAACCGAAAGATAATAAGGGTCTTTGGTGCACCATTTACATGTAATTGGACGAAAATATATATGGGAGCTATATCTAAATCCGAACCGATTTTCAGGAAACTTAACACACATCATTCTAGAGATAATTCATTACGCTGTGCCAAATTTCGTGCAAATCGAATGATATATAGGGACTTTGGTGCACCATTTACAGGGTGAAGGGTATAAAAAGGATTTGGTTCAAGAACCTCAAAATACCGAAAATTGGGGGGTACCCTTATATGGGGGCTACCAGAAAAAAATTGACCAATATTTATAATTTGTAGTGGAGAGATGTGATACCTAATACGAACACGACGTACTAAATTACAGACAATTAGGTCGAAAAATACGATCAGAACCCCCAAAATACCAACAATTTTGGGGTACCGTTATATGGGGACTTCCAGAAAAACTGGACATATATTTATAATTTTTAGTGGAGTAATTTGGTACCCAATAAGAACCCAATGTACAAAATTTCAGAGAATTCAGTTATAAAACGAGCCCAAGAACCCGAAAATACCGAAAATTGGGGGTACCCTTATATGGGGGCTTTCCGAAAAAATGGACCTTTATTTATAATGTTTGGTAGGGAGATTTGCTACCCAATAAGAACACAAAGTACCAAATTTCAGCGAATTCGGTCGAAAATGCCATCAGCGAATTCAGTTAAAAAACGCGCTCAAGAACCTCAAAATACCGAAAATTTGGTGGTACCCTTATATGGGGGCTATCCGAAAAAATGGACCTTTATTTATAATTTTTGGTAGGGAGATTTGCTACCCAATAAGACTGCAAAGTACCAAATTTCAGCGAATTCGGTCGAAAAATGCCATCAAAACCCCCAAAAATACCGAAAATTGGGGGTAATCTTATATGGGGGCTATCCGAACAAATGGACCTTTGTCTATAATTTTTGGTAGAGAGATTTGCTACCCAATAAGAACTCAAAGTACCAAATTTCAGCGAATTCAGTTAAAAAACGCGCCCAAGAACCTCAAAATACCGAAAATTTGGGGGTACCGTTATATGGGAGCTATGCCTAAACGTGGACCGATTGTCTTCAATAGGGTTCGTCCTTTCAATAGGGTTCGTCCTTGGGCCAATTAAGTGACCTGTGCCAAATTTCATCCAAATCCGATCATAGATGCGACCTGTACTTTGTTAACAAATATACATAGACGGACAGACGGACGGACGGACGGACGAACAGACGGACATGCATAAATCGACTCAGAAAGTGATTCTATGCATATTCTCAAAAGGAACCATGGGTCTATCTCGATTAATTTTGCCTGTTACAAACATATGCACAAAGACATAATACCCTGTACCACAGTGTGGTGAAGGGTATAAAAAAGTGGACCAATGTCTTGTAGTCCACTACCAAGATGCAGGCACTTTTGATGACAAATTTTCGTCATAGGGCTGCTGACATTTATTTACCCCACCAATACCAACAATATTTCCTAAAATATTCTAAAAAATTGATGTCTTATTTTGGTTCTTATTTTATTTTTTTAATAGATGCCTTCTTTTGATTCTTAAAAATATAAAAAAATCCACGTCTTCTTTTGGGCCTTAAGAAATGTTCTTAAAAATGCCACGTCTATTTTTGGCCTTAAGAAATATACGCCTATTTTAGGCTAAAAAATATTCTTTAAGAAACCCAAGTCTTTTTTGGGCCTTCAACAATCTATACTAATAAAAGAGTAAAGTGATTGACAGGCTGACTATTTGACTTAACGATTTATTAACGCCCAGA